TTGCAAGCATTCCACCTCCTTTCCAGAATCACCATTCATCCAGTGATGGCTGCCTTCTAACATCCGGTTCTTCTGTTCCCCCAACTCCTTTAGGCTGAATATGATGGCTTGATATTGACAAATGCCTTCCCTCACTCTGGTGCAAGCTACTGCCATCTGTTGCCAGCCAAAGCTTTTTAAATGGCCTCCTGGCCACCCACCATGCTACCCTCTCATCCACTGCCTACACTGCAGCCACTGTGACCTTTCTAAGTGAATATCTGATGAAGTTGCTCATTTACCTGAAATCCTAGTGGCATCCTATTACTGTTATAATAAAGCCCAAGTTCCTAATATGTATAACAAAGCCCTCAATAGCAATGAATCCTGCCCATCCTCCTCTCTCCTCTCTAAGCACCAGTCACACAAAATTCTTTCCTGTTCCTTTAATGGTCCATGCCCTGTCTTATTCCTGGCCCTCGCATATCCTATTCCTCCCGCCAGAAACACTTTTTCTCCTTCCTGCACATTTACATGCCAAGAAATGATTATTCTGAGATGGAAAAACAGACTTGCATTGATAATGATAATTATTCCATATTACATATGTTTGGCCCTCTGTATTGTCAGGACCCTATAACTACAATGTCACATTTTGCAAACTAAAGTTCTGAAGAATAGGATTGCATTTTGGACAACAGGACTGTCTCAGAACATCTTGGCTTTACATAAGTCTCATTTTGTGGCAGCAGACATTCAGAAACATGGCCTTCCCTGATCAGGGACAACGGATATAGTGTGATTCCAAAAGGGACAGAGGACGCAGCTGCTGTAGGATCATGTTATGCAGTGGCCTGGACATTTAGTCCAGTGAGGTGGAGTGGGGTGTTTTACTAAGGATTAATCTTGTGGGATTTTCTTAATCCTGCCCAATGAAGAGTTGCCAAAAGTAAATAAAAACATAACCCAGGATCCCAGAAGGGATAATGAGGGGAGAAATACCAGATATAGGTGATGAGGGGATGAAGGCAGCAAACCACCTTGCCATGTGTGTACCTATGAAACAATCCTGCATGATCTGCACATGTACCCCAGAACCTAAAGTACGATAAAAAAAGAGTGAAAAAAAAAGAAAAAAAACTAACACATGTAAAAGGTGCACAATGTGAGCATGGGCATGCACACACACACACCTCTTTATTCTCCTTAGGATACAAATGATCTTTGAGGCTCCTAAGGGCTGCTCTCTCCTCTGAAGGAGGCAGAAACTTAGAGCTCTCATGGCCCTTACCTACCTTAGGAGCTAGCCTTACAGTTAGAGAACAGGGCATAATCAGGCCCTTCATCAGGGTTAAATAGGAAACACCCACCCTATAAGGAAGAACAGGACAAGGGGGTTCCAGATTCAGAATGAAGGAACATGAACATGTAACCAAATTCAGACCCAACACTCCTGGGGCAAGTAGTCTGGGTTGTGGTGGAATCTGAGTACTAAGAAATATGTCCTGGAATCCCAAGCGAGATCAACAATGCCTAGCATCAGCTGCTCGTGTTACAGGAAAGGGTCCCAATCCAGACCCCAAGAGAGGGTTCTTGGATCTTGTGCAAGAAAAAATTCATGGTGAGTTCACAGTGCAAAGTGAAAGCAAGTTTATTAAAAAAGTTAAGGAATAAAAGAATGCCTATGTTATCCACAGACAGAGTAGCCCTCAGGTCTGCTGGTTGCCAATTTTTATGGTTATTTCTTGATGATATGCTACACAAGGGGTGGATTATTTATTCCTCCCCTTTTTAGACCATGAGAGTAACTTCCTGACATTGCTATGGCATTTGTAAACTGTCATGGCGCTGGTGGGAGTGTAGCAGTGAGGACTCATTACCATCTTCATTTTGGTGTGTTTGGGCTGACTCCTTTACTGCAACCTGTTTTATTAGCAAGGTCTTTATGACCTGTATTTTGTGCTGACCTCCTATCTTTTTTTTTTTTTTTTTGAGACGGAGTTTCGCTTGTTACCCAGGCTGGAGAGCAATGGCACGATCTCGGCTCACCGCAACCTCCGCCTCCTGGGTTCAAGCAGTTCTCCTGCCTCAGCCTCCCTAGTAGCTGGGACTACAGGCATGTGCCACCATGCCCAGCTAATTTTTTGTATTTTTAGTAGAGACAGGGTTTCACCATGTTGACCAGGATGGTCTCGATCTCTTGATCTCGTGATCTACCCGCCTTGGCCCACCGAGCCCAGCCGCTGACCTCCTATCTTATCCTGTGACTTAGAATGCCTTAACCATTTGGGAATGCAGCCCAGTAGGTTTCAGCCTCATTTTGCCCAGCTCCTGTTTAAGATGGAGCTGCTCTGGTTCACATGACACTGGAATGCCTAGGACCCAGTTGTCAACAGAGAAGCACGGTGGCCTGAGAGCCAATGAAGCAATGTCCACAGCAGGCTGATAGCCATTCCTCACCTGCATGTGGGTAGAGGATAGCAGGCTCCCGGCAGCCACCTCAGGGTTTCTGGCCCTTATCCCAGCCCTAATTTTAAATCTATTTCTTAACTATTCAGGTAATTACGGGGAAAAGTGGTTAACTGGCAGCTTGTGAAAACCTGTTTCTGGTTTACTCAAAATCATACAATGAGTAACAGACAGAGGCTAGAACAGAAAATGTGACAGACAATAAAGATGAGTGGTACACCGTGCTGTCAAAAACAGCAAAAGGGGCGAGAAAAGAAAGGCCCACTCCTTGGCCCGTGATAGTCCAGGACTGTTCCCTACGATGTTATCAGAGTCTCTGGTTCTGACTGGAGCTACTGGAAGTTATGTCAGATTAAGTCTGCATAAAATCTCAGTGAGGCTAAAACAGTTTCCGGGCAGAGGAATGTGACACAGAACCAGGGAAATATGACGAGACCTCATTATCTTGGTGCCTTTGATAACATACTGGAGAGCAGAGTGAGGTTTTGAATGGGCTGAAATCTTCCATAAATGGAGTCTAAATGCAGGCTACATAACATCCAAAAACTCCTCCGAGAAATTCCTATTATGTACATGAAAGGGGGAATGCAGTAAGTCCCATTTGGCTGGGCAGGGAGCATTCTGTGCTCCGTGAAACTTGGCAGGTTCCGTGCTGAGTGCCAACTACATGTTCTTACTAGACCAAGGCCCTAAACACAGACGGGCAAGTGTATTGGAAAATGAGCTAAATGGAGCAGTCAGGGCTGGGCAGTTCTTTGTCTCTAGCACATCAAAACCACAAGGCAAGATTTTAATGAGAGCATCACTTTTATAACATCCCTAACTAGTTATGAGCCAGTATGCTGATGAATGTTACTCCGAGTTGCTATGGCAAAACAGACTGATCTTACCCCCTTCCATGAATGCCCATCGATACACAGCTAAAACCAAAAGTCAGTTGAGATGCATCACTAGTGACTCTCGCTCTGTGAGACTGACACTCGCAGAGAAACCTCTGAATTTTAAAGTAAGTATACAGTGAAATTAACCATATTAGGAAATAAAGGCACATGGGTGAGGTAACTCAGCTCAAATGTCACCTGCTCAGAGAGGCCTTCCCTGGAGAGCTGAAAGTTCCACACTCCCTTCTTCACTCGTTAGTAACCTCTAGTTGCTCTTTAACACATTAACTGTGATAACTTTCAAATGATAATTGGTGGGTGTTTATCCATCCTCAGTGTTTGAATTTAAACTCCTAGGGACAGGAACTCTGCATGCTTCATTATCCTCTTCCTAACGCCCACATAGAGGCTAGTAGAGCATAAGCCCTCAGTGCTCTTAGACTGGCTGCCTTTCCAAGGACCAACAACAGAGAATGCAGTTATCTGTAACTGAAGACTTTGTGGAGTCCAGAAAAACCAGCATGCACATCCGTAGTCAAAACCATCACGTACTGGAATGAGAAGTCTCTTTTACTGTAGACGTCATATTAGTTAAGTCCATGCCTGGAGGCAACATGGTGTGAAGCAACACCACCCCAAGGGCGGTCCTCGAACCAGCAGCATCGGCGCCGCTCAGCCGTGTGCTGGAAACGCCAAGCCCAGGCCCCGCGGTGGACCCAGTGAGTCAGAATGTCTGGGGGTGAAGTCTTAAGAATATGTGGCTTAATTAAATTCTCCTGGTGATTCCTTAGAACCCTAAAGTTTTGAGAACCACTGATTCAGAAACAAATATTAGATTACCACGAACTGTGCTGCTGATCTTAACTGAGTAACTGTTATTCAGAAATAAAGGTGAAAATAAAAAGGAAATGTCATAAAGACTAGAATTTGCCAGGGAAAATTAGCATGTTCTTCGTGGCATTTAGATTTTTTAAATCAAGAAGGAGAGTGAATTATATGCAAAATAGTCTACATGAATACACTCAGGGCGGTCAGAATGTCCCTCCACAACTAGCAGCCAGATAACTGCCCCACGTTCTGCTTCACCAGGGCCTCCCGGACCCACCTGAAAACCAGCAAGCAGGCCAGGCCCCTTGCACACAGAACTCTCACTTTACCTGTTTCCCTCTTCTTCCCTGGGGCAGCACCATCTGTGGCTCTTTCTAAGAATCGGGCGCAGTGGCTCACGCATGTAATCCCAGCACTTTGGGAGGTCAAGGTGGGCGGATCACAAGGTCAAGAGATCAAGACCACCCTGGTCAACATGGTGAAACCCCATCTCTACTAAAATATAAAAATTAGCTGGGTGTGGTAGTGCACGCCCATAGTCCCAGTTACTCAGGAGGCTGAGGCAGGAGAATTGCTTGAACCAGGGAAGCAGAGGTTGCAGTGAGCTGAGGTCATGCCACTGCACTCCAGCCTCGCAACAGAGCAAGACTCCATCTCAAAAAAAAAAAAAAAAAAAAAAAAAAAAAAAGAGAAGAAGAAGAAAAAAGAAAGAAGAAGGAGAAGGACAAGGAGAAAGAAGAAAGAAGAAGAAGAATCATCACTGCAACAGATGACAGACCAGGACAACTCAGCAAGAGCAGCCCCCCGCCCCGCCCCAGGGATGAGAGGGGAGCCATGCCATACCGTGATTCAGATGCCTGACACAGTCGTTTAGGAGGGCACTAAACCTCTTCTGGTCGGCAGCCTCATGGAAGCAGAAGTAGCCGTGTCTGAGAAAGGGCTGCCACAGGTACACCGGGAATTCCTTGGGCAGGACCACAAAGGGCTGAGCGTTCTCCTTCTCACTGGAGCCTAAAGAAATATTGAAAGCACAAATACCTTTTAGAACATGTATCTTTTATTTCAAACATGTGTTTCAAGGCATGAGGGTAACTATCTGGGGCAGCCTATGGGATGGAAAGTTGGTGAGAGATTTTCACAGGGCAGGAAAACTGGGAGCGCCGGCTCTTTTAGCATCCCTCCACTAGCATCCCCTGTCCCATGGCCGCAGCTGCCTGACCTCCTACCTAACACCACAGGGACAGTGAGGCCAAAAGGCACACAATCTTTCTTTTCTTTTCTTTTTTTTTCTTTTTTTGAGACAAAGTCTCTCTCTGTCACCCAGGTGGAGTGCAGTGACACAATCTTGGCTCACTGCAACCACCACCTCCCAGATTCGAATGATTCTCCTGCCTCAGCCTCCCACCCAGGTAGCAGGGATTACAAGCGCACACCACCACCGGATGTGGTGGCGCATGCCTATAATCCCAGCTACTCAGGAGGCTGAAGCGGACAGATCACTGAGGTCAGGAGTTCAAGACCAGCCTGGCCAACAAGGTGAAACACTGTCTTTCTAGAGACTGGGACTCATTTAACCAAGTGCAATATCACATAATAGGAATGCAATGTATGGAAAGGAGGAAGGTTTATGCAGGGGTTCTGAAAAGTAGTAGGTTTAAAATAAGTTCCTTGGAATTGATTTTGAGGGAACGGGTAAAAGTCACATTGTGTAGGTCTTTAAAAAAAATTTCCTAGGCCAACATAGCACATTTTAAACTCAACAAACTGAAGTTGAATATCTGCTGTGTTCCAGGACTGTGCTGTGGGCTAAGGATACAAAGCTATGGAAGATGCAGTCTGCGTCTCTAGGTGCTCACAGTGTGTAGCTGTGGTTCTGCTCCCTGGGGAGGCAAACTGCACGGGAACTGATCTCATTCTCAGGGAAAGGTAAGAAAGAGGGGCTCTCTGAGAGGCCATTGAAAGCACTGGGAATACCAGGAAATGAATCATAAGCATAAGGGAGGCTACAGGGACTGACTCAGTTACTGGCAAATTAATAAATCAGGATTGGTTTAAATAAAGAATAAATTTCTGGGGCTATATGGTAGCCCTGTTCCCATATATCTGGAATCTGAAGGTAACAGAGCAGAAGGCACTGTGAGCACAAGCCCTGACCCACCAGGACCTAGCACAGTGCTGGGAATGAATCAACATGAAAATGAACAAATGAATGAATGGATGAATGAATGAATAATAGAGAGACACCTGTAGTTATAACACAATATCTATTTCCCTTTCTGAGGAGACTAAAGCCCCTGATTTTCAGTTGGGCTAGTGACTGCATAAAATGAGACTACATTTCCAGCCTCCCTTGCAGCTTGGTGAACCCACAGCTACTAAGTTCTGTCCAATAAGGTGTCAACTGGAGGGGCATATGAAACTTCCTGGAGGAATCGCCAAAGAAAGCGACTGTATTCCTCCTCCTTTCCTTTCCTCCTCCCTACTATCTGAAGAGAGAGTGCTATGGTAGGGGCTCAGCAGCCACCCTGGACTCTGCCAGTAAGGGCCACAACCTAGAAATAAAGGGAGAGAAAGCAAGAGCCTGAGCCTCTGACAAATTCAGTCCACACCAGCCCTAGACTAATATCCTAATATCTTTAGTGAGATAATAAAACTATGAGTTTTTTATTGTATGCAGTGAACCAGATTCTACCCAATAAAATGTCACATAAATGAATTACTTTGGCAAAACACAGGGGTATTTTTTTCTGTATCAACTCAGCTGAACACTCTGTAAAGAATACACTTATTGGCCAGGCATGGTGGTCCATGCCTATAATCCCAGCACTTTGAGAGGCCAAGGCAGGAGGGTCACTTGAGATCAGGAGTTGAAGACCAGCTTGGGAAACAGAGTGAGACCCTCATCTCTGCAGTTGTTTTTTTTTTTTTTTTTTTCCATTCCAGGCATAGTGGCATGTAACTGTGGTCCCAGCTACTGAAGAGGCTGAGGTGGGAGGATTACTTGAGCCCAGGAGGTTGAGGTTACAGTGAGCCATGATCGCACCACTGCACTCCAGCCTGGGCAACAGTGTGAGACTCTGTCTCAAAAAAAAAAAAAAAAAAAAAAAGGAATGCACTTATTCATAAGCCTTTAATGCTTTTTCTCAAGAAAGGTTAATTCCTCCCATCTTTATTATGCCTTTATACTTTCCACAGAATTATCATAGTCTTCCTGACTCACTTAGTTTTATCAAATGATCCTCCTTGTCCTCTCCAAGAATGTCACAATTTTGTACAACCAACCAAAAGCAACACTGACTCTTTGCATTAAAAGCCTCGACAAGCCCATAAAATTCATCCCTACTGGCCTCTAGTTATCTCTCATTTAACCTTTTGCGACAGTTTTCCAGATGCCATCAGTGAATTTTTTCCAAGTTGAGTTACAAGAATATCACAAACGATCTACTGTAGAATATTCTATTTTAAGAGTCAGAAGGCCACACCACACAATTTAAAAAGTCATTGAAATTCCCCATCTGAAGCCTTGGCCAACTGGCATTAATCACGCAGGACTTGTGTTTTTTAGTCGTTTTCATTCCTTACAATATGATTTCAGCAATAAATCAATAAATATATTGTCTCTTCTGACTGATTTCATTGGAAAGTTTTCGAGAGATTTGGATGAGTCAACATGTTGGCATTCCCATTTCTAGCTGCAGCTCCACCGCCAAGGACGTATAAGTAGATGTTAAAAGAAAATATAATAATATGCATAGTACACATAAAGTGTTGTTTTAGCATGAATTACTTAGCAATAATTTGTTAATCTTGGTTTATGGTTCATGTACCAATCCTGTAATTGTGTTATTAAAAACATTATGCTAAGCAGTCAGCACCAAAATAACGATTAATAAAATGATTATGTTTTTCTCCATAAATTCTAATGAAATTATTATGCCCATTAATAAGAACCAGGGCTCTCTTCAAGAACCAAGTAATTACTGTGTAGTGTGATTTACACAAAGTCAGATGGAGTTATTACATTATACACACTTCATGAATCTCTATGAATTGCCCTGTTTGGTTTATATATTATCCATCATTTCTCCACATGAAAAAAGTAGAATGAATGAGAATCAAAGCAGGGTAGAGCTAGAAAGACCCTTCTATGTTCTTAAGTTCAAAGCCCTGTTTTCGAGTTAGAGAAACAGAAACCAGAGCTGTTGAGCAGCCAGCTAAGCTAAAGCATGTGGTAAGTGGCGCGGCCAGAACTAGATAAAAATCCAATTTCCCAATTCTCCTTCCATGGCAGCATCCCAGCTTTATTCATACATATGCAAATTCATGCAATTTTTTTTAACACAGTAGCTATGAGTTACTGTAACACTTATTAAAAGGTTTGTCTATTTAGGGTATTTTGCTGCATATCATCCCAAAAGTAGAAAAATCATATTCCCTGATAGGTCCAGGGTTGCTTACTAAAAGATGGGACTATGCATTTCATGGACTGGGCCCTACCTGTTTATTTCTGCTGCCTTGTGGGGTACTATCAAAGCCTGCAATATAGTCTAAAAGCTTCAAGATACCTGGCTGACAGCACATTTTCCACGTGTATTATTAAATGGGATTATAAATAACAGAAGTGATAAAATGTTTTCCTAAACTAGAGAAATCACACCTTCCATTTTTCTATGGAGCATGGGTGTCTAGCCCAGGGTTTCTCAACGTTGGTAGTACTGATACTTTACACCAGATACTTCTTCATTGTTAGGGTCTGATCTGCGCATGCTAAGATGTTGTGCAGCATCCCCGGCCTCCGTTCACTAAATGCCACAGCAGCCCCCTTCCAATTGTGACAAACAAAAACGTCTCCAGATGCTGCCAAATGTCCCTGGAGGGAAATCCCTCTCCTTCACTGAGAAACACGACTCCAGCTAAACAAAGAAGCTTAGTCATTTTGCCTTGGAAAAAAATGATCAGCAACTCACCAAGAGGGTCTGGGAAATGCCTGTCAGATAACAGATTATATTCATCTTCTGAGGTTAACACCTTGCCACCGGCTGGAAGGATTCGGCTTTTAGGAGCAGCTCCTCTCTGATAGGCCTGGGGAAGAAAAGGCATACAGGAATGATATTTTTTTCCCCGTTCGAGTTTTGAAAAATATCAGGAATATAAAAAATAGACAGACTCAGATACCCCCAGAGATAGCAATCCCCATACTATGTTATTGAGTTACAGTTATTTATTCAAAAAATATTTTAATACTTTTGTGTGATGGTCACAACATGGTAAATCAGGGTCCCTAATCTCAGGGAGATTCACTGTAGATATGTTCTTGAATGTGGAAAACATAAGCTCAGTAACTTCCAGAAAATCCATATCACATTTACCATTTCAGATGCTAACACCTGAATCATTCCGATAATAACCACAAAGGCAACGATCACATGAACAGTGCACAGAGTGCTTGGTGGCTGATGTGGGCCACATATGATGACTAATGAGACTGTGCAACACGTAGCTGCAATGATGGTTACCATGGATTTTCATCAAAACATTAACATGTTGGCATGATAAAATATGCTACTACTTTTCCCTCAGATGTGAAACTGTTTTGCAGTAAAATGGTTGGGATGGAAGTACAGCATTGTGACATCAGAACAAATTCTGCCCAGCAGACAAGAAGCTCTGCTATTTGAGACACAGAAAAGAGGCACCGGGAGTTGCTAAAGCAGTTTAGTAAGCAGATACGCCCACAAGGACATAGAGATAAGACAAAATTTAAGTATGTGCATCTGATGTGAGGGCTTAAGCCAAGACAAAATTTTGAAACTAGTAACCTAAAGGCAAGTTGAGAACTGAAACCAAGAAATTTTGAGACCCAAAATCTAGAATATACTCTTGGAGATAACTAAATAATGTTGATCTGAGCAACATAGTCAGAGTAACGATAACACATTCTGCAGCAATAAGCTAGTGAAGGCATCCAAACAAAACAAACTCTCAGATATCTAAAAGGCTTGTCTTCGTGCTTGTAACAACCACTAATCAACTGCTTAAGCATGTCAGGGAACCAGAATATAAGAGAGAAGAATCTAAACTTGTATGATATTAAGGAGATTTAGAAGCAATTTGATTTAGACTGGATGGAAATGTGAATTGCATTATTAGTTACAACAGTCCCCAAAATTGACTTTTGTAAGCATTACACCATTTAATCCTCAAAACAGTACTACGCATTAGATGTTATCTCCATTTTTCAAATGGGAAACATGAAGCTCAAAGAGACCGAATAACTTGTCCGTGGCCCAGCAGTGAGTAGGTGACACATCCAGGATTCATACTCATGTCTGTCCAGCCCCAATGCATACAAAATAGAAACCAGGTATCAAGTGAGAATGTTTCACTGTTCCTGTTTAATTGCCAGCCAAAATTGGACTCTAAATAAAATAATAGACAACTTACAGGTACTTACTGAATAACTCTTACATACAATTTTACAAGATATTTCTATAAATTAAAAAACAGGATATTATTAAAAGTTTGAGAAATTATGACAAATTGCATGAACTTTAAAGAAAATTCCGAGTTTTAAAAAATACTTGGTTATCACCAAATTCAGTCACCATATCTTAACAATCTGAACGGGTTCAGTGAAAAACGATGAACAAAGAAAAAACAGCAATGTATAAACTGCAAGCTGAGAGAGCAAGGATTTGATTCAAAATGAAAATGAAACTTCAGTTAGTGCTGAATGCAGTGAAAAGCTTTAATAAATCCAAGAACAAGATGTAGTGCTGTGTCCTCCCAGTGAGTTAGCAGTAATCGTACCAACAGCTGCTCCACATTGAGCTCCAGCTTTACCACAGGCCCAGCCATACGCTAATCGCTTCAGTACACTCCTTCACTTAATCCTCTCAACACCATGGCAAAGAAATCACACTCCTCATTTTACAGATGAGAAAACAGAGGCTCAAGATTTACAACTTAGGCAAGGGGGCATATCTAGTAAGCGGTAAAGGTACGAGTCAAAGCCCATAGCACGAACCATATTATACTACACTGTCCCTCCTCAAGCTCCTCTGAAAGGACACTCTAACGGGCCATACAAAACATAAGGTGACTTGTTATTATCATCATTATTTGTAGGGTATTGATACTTTGTTGCTAAGTACAAATTAAGTGTTGAAAAAATCCTAATATTGATAAGCAAAGAAAATATTAGCTTAATAAATATTTAAAAGAGTAAGTCTACTCAAGAGAGCACTTGAACCTTGCCTGGTAGCCCGTGAAATAAGTTTGTAGTATATTTTATTTCTATTTTCCATCAGAAATGGGAAGGAAACAGATTGGTCTATCAGTCTGAAGGCTCTTCCTAATGGTTTATCATCAGGTAGTCCTCAAAGTGCTCTGTGAAGGTTGTCTTGACAATTCTTTTTTTTTTTTTTTCTTTTTCTTTTTGAGATGGAGTCTCACTCTGTCACCCAGGCTGGAGTTTAGTGACGTGATCTCGGCTCACTGCAACCTCCACCTCCCAGGTTCAAGTGATTCTCCTGCCTCACCCTCCCAAGTATCTGGACTACAGGAGCACACCAGCATGCCCAGCTAACTTTTGTATTTTTAGTAGAGATGGGGTTTCACCATGTTGGCCAGGCTAGTCTCAACCTCCTGACCTCAAGTGACCTGCCTGCCTTGGCCTCCCTAAGTGCTGGGATTACAGGCATGAGCCACTGTGCCCAGCACTCTGGAATACTACTGAGCTTAGAGGCCAGAGAGCATAGTTTTAAATCTGTTACTATTCTTCACTGATAAATAGTAACTGTTTATTTCAAAAGGAGCTTGAGGGTCTATGTCGACTAAAGAATGTGTACAGTATGAGATCTGGAAGGATAATTGGGATCATCTGACCTAACTGTCTGGCTTAATTGAGACCTGAAGAAAAGAAGTTACATGTCAGTGAGTTCACTTCTAGTTAATGGCACAACTTGACCTAACCTTTGGTTTGTCAAATTCACACTGCCTGATATGCCACATTACCTCCCTACATAAGGAAAGAAATGGGAACCAATAACAACTGAAATCCTCCCAGGTGCTGGATGCTTTACTCACATTATCTCATTTTCTCCACATTTTACAGACAAGGAAAATAATGAGATAACCAGAAAATAAGTTAAATGAAAAAAAAAACCTCCATGGGAATAAAGTATGTGAGGTGTTCTGAATTCCTAGGAACCCAGGCAAACCCAGGAAGATTCAAATTTTATAACAACCTTCGAAATCACTCCCCAGCCATCTGTCATGCACAGGGCTTCACAGAGGGAAGACAGGGATGCAGAGCAGAGCTCTCGAGGCTGAATTATCATAGGAAAGGCTCGTATGCCAAATACTGGTCCTTCTATCTTTATAAACACTTGCAATTGCTTCTTCAGTCTATCTTGCCACTAGTCAGCAAGCATCCTATCAACTGCTGTACAACCAGAACCTTGTGTAACCCTTGGTATGCAGTAGGCATTCAATCAATATCTGTTGGCTGAAATGGGTACCTACATGCATGAGTGCTTATTGAATGAATCAGTCTCTAAGGAGAGGGCACACCAATCAACCCAGCCAAATTTTTAAGAATAGTGCAAGAACCAGTGGTAACAAAAAAGTGTCTTACCTCTTTATTCTCATAGCTCTCCACAGCGTAATCATTTTTAACTACAATATATCTCTCCTTCCACTTCCTTACATCTTCAGAAAATTGTGACAGCTCTGCTTCATACAAAATAGTTCCAGGCGTCAATGGTGGCTTAAAGAAGATGAATACAATTAACGATCACAACAAAAGATAACATACCTTGCTACCACTAGGTTATCTGTGATAGTTCAAGGAATATTTTAGAAAACTATCTTCCGGGAAACTGTTGCTTCCTCATCTCCCCCAACAATCTCCCTTTCTGACTCCTCTTGACCCAATGCAAATATTTGTCTTATTAGTATTTTTACAATTTTTATTTCCCTTGATTATGCTATGGGAACAGAAGCATACAGTAGAAGGAATTACCGTAATAAGGTTATTATGCCTTGTATACATGTGGCACTCAATAAATGCTTGATAAACTCTATGGGAGAGAGGGAGTGAGGCAGGAAAGTATAAGTGTGAATATCTACCTGGACACCCTGAACATGTCTCAGGGTTAATCCCCACAGAGCAGAAGAATTAACAGACCGTTCCCCTATTCATTATATCTGCAATGATGAAGCCTCCAATGCTCGCTAGTTTTCCTAAACCCAAAGCCATGGGCTCTGTTCCATGCTACTCAAGATCATGTTTGCTATTTGCTTAAAGAACAAGCAGGTATCAAGCCAGAACACCTCAGTTCTACCTCTCCTACTTAATAGTTTCAGGATTTCTCATTAACCATGGCGATATATGTGTCATACAGCCATTCCCATTAGATTCCTAGTTACATCTTCCATTGGGTTAACTGTGCAAGGATAATTCCCATCCTGCTTCATTGTGCAATTCTCATATTATTTCAAAATATACAAATGGGCCTCTTGTCTTTTACATGTCACTGAATTTAATCTATTTTCCCTTTATTAAAAATCACAGTGCCTTCAGAAACTTACCCCTCTACTTTCAAGTAAAATTTTAAATGAACCATACAGAAAAAAATAGATATGCCAATCTCTTTTAAGAATCATCTAAGGGATGAAACAAATTCCCTTCCAAATGCCAGTGCTTAATATTCTATCCTGACAGATAATAAAGCAGTCTCCTATCTTGCTTCATTAAAAGGTAAGAGAGAATCTCTTCTCTTTAAATGAGACTAAAATCATGGTATAAGCTGAATTTCGTAGTTCTTACATGCAGCTTTTCTTAAAACCTGGGCCATTTCATCAACTGATAAGCTTGTTAAAAATGGAGCTTCACCATAGACTTACTATATCAGAATCTCTGAGGCTGTGGGCTAGAGTGTGCATTTTAACAAGCTCCTAAATTTTGAGATCACTGTTTTATGAAGGAAAGCAATCAGTTGTCCCTATATACTCATGCTGCTAAATCTATTCGTTAACTTCTCAACATTATGTGACTCACTTATCACTTATTCTCTCTTGAAACCCCTTCTTTTTTATTTTTAGTTTTTTTAAATTTTATATTCAAGGGGTACAGGTGTATTATGTGTAAGGGTGGGGACTGAGCTCCTGGTGTACCCATCACCCAAATCTTGAGCATTGTATCCAAGAGGTAATTTTTCAACCCTCACTGCCCTCCCACCTTCTCCGCTTTTGGAGTCTCCAGAGTCTATTCTCTCCATCTTTATGTCCATGTGTACCCATTATTTAGCTCCTGCTTGTAAGTGAAAACAGGTGGCATTTGATTTTCTGATTCTGAGTGAGTTCACATAGGATAATGGCCTCCAGATCCATCCATGTTGTTAAAAGATTTCATTTTTTTCATGACTGCAGCATCCTGTGGTGTATATATACCACATTTTCTTTATCTAATCAACCAATGGTGCACACTTAGGTTTGTTCCAAGCATTGCTATTAAAAACAGTGCTGTGATAAACATATGCATGCAGGGGTCTTTTTTATATAATGATTTCTATTCCTTTGGGTAGATACCCAGTAGTAGGATTGCTGGGTCGAAAGATAGTTCTTTTTTAGTTATTTGTGATATCTCCACACTGTTTTCCCTAAAGGTTGAACTAATTTAATTCTCACCAACAGTGTATGAGCATTTCCTTTTCTCCACATCTACATCATCTGTTATTTTTTGACTTTTTAATAATAAAATGACATAGGTAATTTGATAGGAATTGAATTGGAGCTGTATAGCTGTATATTGCTTGGGGAATATGGTCATTTTAATGATTGTGATTCTTACAATCTTGAGCACGGGATGTGTTTCCATTAGTTTGTGTTGTCTACAATTTCTTTCATCAGTGTTTTGCAGTCCTTATAGAGATCTTTCATCTCCTCCATTAAATGTACTCCTTTGTGTGTGTGTGTTGGGTGGGGGTGGCTATTACGAAAGGAATTGAGTTCTTAATTTTGAAACCCCTTTTTTATTTGCCTTCTGGGACATCATACTTGGGACATTATACTTTTCTGATTTTTCTCCTACTCCATAGACTGTTTCTTCTTAGTCCATTTTGCTGGATCCTTCTCCTTTTCCTGAAGGGGACAATGTACTATTTCTTTTCTCTGTCTATATTCTTTCCCTCTTTTATGGCCCATGGCCTTAATACCAGTTATAAGCTAACAACTTCCAAATTTCTGTTCTCCAGCCTCAATCACCCTGCTGAGCTCCAAATGAAAACATTCAATGGCCTATTCAATATTTCCACAGGTGTATGTCAAACTAGCATCTCAAACTTAACATAGTCAAAAGGGAACTTGTGATCCCATTCAACCCGACTCTTCCTTCTAAGTAAAAGACAACTCCAGCCACTTATTTGCTCTGGTTAAAAACCAAGAAATGATCACAGATTTCTCTATTCTTCTATTATCTCACACCCAATCCAACAGTACGTTCTGTCAGCTCTATCATAAACACTTCTCTTCGCAACCATGGCCATCAACACCCTAGCCCAATTTGGCATCATTCTTCCCTCAGATGATACAGTTATCCTGCTCACCAGTTTCCATTCTTCCCTCTTGCCCTGTAGTCTGTTTTTTACAGAGGCCAGGCAGATCATTTAAAATTATATGTCACTCTGGGTTGGGTGTGGTAGCTCACAACTGTAATGCCAGCACTTGGGGAGGCCAAGGCAGGCAGATCACAAGGTCAGGAGTTTGAGACCAGCCTGACCAACATGGTAAAACTCCATCTCTACTAAAAATACAAAAATTAGCTGGGTGTGGTGGCGCATACTTGTAATCCCAGCTACTCAGGAGGCTGAGGCAGGGGAATCACTTGAACCTGACAGGCGGAGGTTGCAGTGAGCTGAGATCGTGCCATTGCACTCCAGCCTGGGTGACAGAGCGAGACTCTGTCTCAAAAAAAATAAAATAATAATAATAATAATAATTTATATATATATATATATATATATATATATATATATATATATACACACACACATATATATATGCCAGTCTGTATTCAACACCCTCCAGTGGGACTTCCCATCACAAAACAACATCAAAACCCTTTCGTGACCTACAGGTTGACATGATGTGGTCCCGACTTATCTCTCTGCTGTCATTGTTTGTACCTCCTCCCTCGCTCATAGTGCTGCCAGCAGACCGACCTTCCCTCTATGTGGCAGGGTCTTCACACTTGCTGTTCCATAGGCCTGGAATACTCTTCCCACGAATATTCACTCAGCCTACTCTCATTGCACTCCAGTTTCTGCTTAAATGTCATCTCCACAGAGGGCTTCCCTAACCACCTTCTAGCCCAGGTGCAGTGGCTCACGCCTGTAATCCCAGCACTTTGGGAGGCCGAGGTGGGTGGATCACTTGAGACCAGGAGTTCAGGACCAGTCTAACCAACATGGTGAATACCCCATCTCTACTAAAAATACAAAAATTAGCTGGGTGTGGTGGTGGGCACCTGTAATCCCAGCTACTCAGGAGGCTGAGGCAGGAGAATCACTTGAACCTGGGAGGCAGAGGTTACAGTGAGCCGAGATTGTGCCTCTGTACTCCAGCCTGGGCCACAGAGCAAGACTGTGTCTAAAAAATAAAATAAAATAAGACTCTTGCTTTATTTTTCTTTTTAGCATTTATTATTATCTTATGTCACCTGATTTTGATTTGTTTATTGTCTGTTTCCTGCATGTGAATATAAACTCCAGGAAGGCAGAGAACTTGTCTTAATTCCCCAGTTCTTGGACTACAGCCTGGCACACAGTAGGTGCTAATAAACATTTGTTGAGGTGATGGTTACTTATTATAAGGGAGTAAAGGAGTAAGAATAAATTAGGGGGTTCAAAGAGAAAACCATATTTGATCTATGACCAAAATGAAAATGCCTGTAGTGCAAGGCACTGAAATAACTTTTAAAAACTAAACTTCACTAGATTAAGTCAAATTTTCTGATAGCAAAGCATCCATGAGGGAAAAATATATAACAATATTGGATTCATGCTAATTTCCTTTTTATACGATTTATACCAGCAACAATAATTCATACATTCTCACTTCCAGGCAAATACAGCTTTTTGAGCATGAAATGATTTCAGAGCAGAGTTTTTAAAACTGCCATTCAAATTATTGTTTATTTCAGAAATACTGTGCGCTATACAGCTTTCTTCAAGGGGAAAATCACGTAAACCAAATATCCATGGCTTACCTTGGCCTTCAAAATCTGCGATGTTAGGTCTCTTTGCTGTTCTACTTCACTGCGCACGTGATTGCAGAAAGCCACAGAGTACTGACGACTGTAGTAGGGACTGAAGTTTTTGATGGCAGCCTCAGTTTTCCCTAGAAAAATATGAGAATTAGAATTCTGAAGTATAGCATAGAATATACACCTATCTATGTAGTCCCAAAACCATCCCCTCAGTCTCTCTGTTTCCATCCCTCCAGTTTCCCCTGTTTCCCAGGGATTCGCCAGCAGCCTGCACTCCTGGAGAACTTGGATACCTGCTGCACAGGCTTGATCTCTCCCTCCCCTTCTGACATCATCCTGAGAGGCTTCACAGACTCTAAGGACCATCCATCCAGTAACCTAAAGAGTTTTGCTTTATTTTATGTCAATGATCTATCGCCATGGCCGTAAACTCAGCCATCCCTCTAATCCTTCTAAGACTCCTCTTCTACCCCGCCCTCTCTCCACTTCAACTTGCCCTTTACTCCCCTTGACCTCTAATTGTTAAGCGCCTCCTTTCAAACAAGAATCCCAGGTGTACCCCTTCAGTTCTGCATGCACATCACTCCCTTTTTCTTCAGTTCCCTGAGCCTCCACTTCTAGTCTTGTGACTCACAGTCCTGGATAAAATCAAAAGTGTTTCCTCTCATTCTGCTCCAATATTTCTGGTTTAAAATTTTTTGTGTGATTCAAAGCAGTATATAACTACCACAAGACAGAAGGGGAAACTTTGGTATAAGAGCCAAGAGACCTGAGTTTGGATCCCGATTCTAACTGTGAGGCAGAAGCCAGCTGTACAACCTCAGTCAAGTTATTCAACTCTCGAGCCTCCTGCATCCCAACCGTAAAGGAAGGTGCTCACTAATCCACACATTTCTTTGGATCTGTGTGCCATTGAAGTACAAGTACAGTACGAAAGTCCAGCTGCCTCAAGACAGTGATCAGAAACTGCAATGTATTAAATAATCTCTCAACACCAGAAGTAAATCAAATTGAATATGAACCATGTTGGGGAAGCTTGAGGATTTCAGATGGAGGGGTCAGGGAGAGTCAGACACCTGAAGCATTCTTGTGCCTTTCCAATCTGTACTTAGCTTTAGAGAATATGGGAGTTGCAAAGGAGAAAAGAGAGAAGGAGGAATAGAGGTGAAAGGGTGTAGGAGCACTCTCATGCAGATTAGAAACCCTCACAAGATTTCAAGTACTTGTTGCAGGATACAGAAAGAAACAAAAGCTTCACTGACTGTGCTGACAAGCGATTAGTCCACAGAACAGGGTATAGCTTGGGGAAAAATACACCCAATGCAATATTCCAAAATATTTTAAAATACTTTCATGTGAATTTGACATCATTCTTTGCTTTTAAAATTTGGTATTATAGTCAATAGAGAAATATTAAAATATAACACACTGGAAAGATTTGTTTAGAGCTATAGTGTACGTAGAATTTCAAAAATAAGTGAAGAGTTCTAACCACATAGATTGAGGTACTCAATAGGAAAGCCTTGAATCCATAGCAATCTGTTTCTAAGCCTATAGAACCATAGCCAAAGACACCCATATGAATACTCTCCATATGCAAAGAATCCTACTTTTGTTTGGGCATTTAGGTCTTATAATGCCCATATGAGGTAAAGAGGAATTCTTTCATATTCACTTAATAACATGACATTTACTGGTCATGTTTACGAGCTTTAATAATTATTACTTATAAGGTGCTTTGAGACCCACTAATAATAGATTCTGCAGAAATCCAAATAAAAGCTCCTATAATTTAAATCAGGCATGCTTTTGCTTGCTCTGCGAGTTTATGGTATTGCAATTAATCAGTATTTGCATAATACTTTAATACACTCAGGCTTTATAATCATCGAATTGGCCATTATGTTATCAGCTTTTATGCAATGCAATTCTCTATGCTTGTCTATAATTTTCTTACATAGGAGTGGGAGAGTATGGGAATTCCCACAATGAGAACGAATCTCACTTTACTAAAACATATAAATTATGAATAAATAAAATTTGCCCTTTAGGTCGAAGAAGACAGTTTGGTCTATCAGAAACGTAGCCTGTTAATTTCTGATGTTTATTTTTGTACTCTTGAAAGCACTTGGATTGAAATGAAAGGAGGTGGATGTCATTTTATGATGAACTCTATAAAGCTTTGAAAGCTGATTTTCTGCCACATCACCAAGCCTCCCCCAGGAATGCTGTGCTTCTGATGAGGTGCCATAATGCTCTCTTCTCATGGATGAGAAAAATGCTTCTGTGATTTGAATACCTGCATACTGTCCCATTAACACATCATCCACCAGGCAGCATTTATAAAGAAGCAACTGCAGCTTCCTTAGGTAATTAATCTAACAACTAGTTCAAAATATATATGAAATAGCTAACAATATCACATGTTCTGGGGTGGGGGAATAACGTGAAGTTATTGGGCAAGTGTATCTGGATTTTAGATCAAACCTATCTAAATCCAAATAAGTAAGTACCCAACGTAGGGATGCTAAGACTGACAGCAAAGTTTGTGTTGAGGCAGGGGATGATCTGGCTTGGTGGCTCATGCTTATAAGCCACCACTTTGGAAAGCTGAGGCAGGAGCATTGCTTGAGCCCAGAAGTTTGAGGTTGCCATGAGCTGTGACTGCACCACTGTACTCCATCCTGGGAAACAGAGCAAGACTCCATTTCTAATTTTTTAAAAAACAGTCTGATGTTGGAGCAAAATACCATGTGATTAGGAAGATGGACTCTGGAGTCAGATAGACAGGTTCAAATCCCATCTCTACTACTTACCAGCTGCGGGATCTCATGTGAGTTACTTCTTTCTGCTCACATGTTAAATGAAGAAAACAAGAGTAGCAGCCTCATAAGGTTATTCTAATGATTCCGTACAGTAATGCAGTAAAGTGCTCAGCACAATAGCTGGCACATACAAAATGTTCAGTAATTGATCATAATTAAAAGGATGATGATCATGGTGATGAGAGTGTCCCTTGGGCAAGCACCAGGATAAAGTCCTCAAGCTAAACTAAAGAATTAAGGAGAAGAAAAAAAGTGGTTTACTATAACTCTTGCACTAGGGCCATCCTGCCCTGCTGTATACAGAAGAGCTGCCCCACTCATTGCAGGTTCTAAAGAAACACAATCTACATTTTCAGAAAGGTTCAGCATAGAAGGCCCTCAGTGCATTCCTGAATTAAAACCAACTAAATAAAATATCGACATTAATGAACTGAAGCAAAAAGTGTAAGTTAGGGGCTGTGTTTCATTGAGCTTTTCTCTCTGAACCTCAATTTTCTCACCTGTAAAATGAGGATAATAAGATGCCCATATCACAGGGTTTCATGAGGAGCAAGTAAAATATTCTGCATATTGAAAACTGTCTAGGACAGCTTGTGCTGGGCATTGCGTTAGTGCAATTCACTTGACCAAGCTGCTCATAACACCCTTCAAGGTAATCATCACTGATGCTAAAAGAGGCCGCTTGCTACGGTTTGGATCTTCTGTCCCCTGCAAACATCATGTTGAAATGTAATTTCCAGTGTTGGAGGTGGGGCCTGGTGGGAGGTGTTTTGGTCATGGGGGCAGATCCCTCATTAATGGCTTAGTGCAATCTCCTTGGGGATAGGTGAGTTTTGCCCCCTTGGTTCACTTGACAGCTGGTTGTTTGAAGGGGGCCTGGCACCTCCTCCTCTCTCTTACTCAGCTCTTGTCATGTGATGTACCTGCTCCTAGTTTGCCTTCTGCTATGATTGTAAGCTTCCTGAGGCCCTCACCAGAAGCACATGCCAGCATTATGCTTCCTGTACAGGCTGCAGAATCAAGAACCATGAGCCAATTAAACCTCTTTTTTCTTTTCTTTCCTATCTTCCTTCTTTCTTCTTTCTTTTTTTTTTTTTACAGTCTTACTCTGTCACCAGGCTTAGAGTACAGTGGTGCAATCACAGCTCACTGCAGCCTTTACCTCCCAGGCTTAAGGAATCTTCCCATCTCAGCCTCCTGAGTACCTGGGACCACAGGACTGTGCCACCACCGCTGGCTAATTTTTTTTTTTTTTTTTTTTTTTTTTTTTGAGACAGAGTTTCACTCTTATCCCCCAGGCTGGAGCATAGTGGCGCAATCCTGACACACCGCAACCTCCACTTCCTGGGTTCAAGTGATTCTCCTGCCTCAGCCTCCCAAGTAGCTGAGACTACAGGAATGCACTACCACACCTGACTAATTTTGTATTTTTAGTAGAGACAGGGTTTCACCATGTTGGTCAGGCTGGTCTTGAACATCTGACCTCAAGTGATCCACCCATCTCGGCCTCCCAAAGTGCTGGGATTACAGGCATGAGCCACCATGCCCACCCTAAATGTTTTTCTATATAAATTACCCAACCTCAGATATTTCTTTATAGCAGTGGAAACAAATTATTAAACACCTCTTTGACAGCTCTGTCCACATAACTTGTAAAATTAAGAAAAATATGTACTGACCCCCTTAAAGCCATTAAATCTACACAGGCTCAAAAACTCAGCATTCATTTGACTCTTTCTCCCCCATTCCCAGATTCAGTCATCAGATGCTGTCTCTTTTATTTCCAGAAATTTCTTGAATCTATTTCCTTTTCCCCATCCCAACCACCACACCTTCAATTAAGCCTCTACTATCTCTCAACGACATTTTAAAAGTATCTTAGGCCAGGCACAGTGGCTCGCACAATCCCAGCATTTTGGGAGGCTGAGGTGGGCAGATCACTTGAGGTCAGGAGTTCATGATTGGCCTGGACAACATGGTGAAATCCTGTCTCTACCAAAAACACAAAATTTAGCTGGGCGTGGTAGTAAATGCCTGTAATACCAGCTACTTGGGAGACCGAGACAGGAAAATCGCCTGAGCCTGGGAGGCAGAGGTTGCAGTGAGCCAAGATCATGCCACTGCACTGTAGGCAATAGATCAAGACTGTTTAAAAAAAAAAAAAAAGACTCCTAATCTAACGTACCTTAGCATCACAGCAAAAGAGACAAAAAAACAAAACAAAACAAAACAAAAAAACTTAACCAGCTCTCAGCTCTAAAACAGGAACAAAAAAGTGAAGAGCAGAAGAGTGGGAGGCAGAGTGC